GGCTCAAGGCATAAAGAGAACTACACAGTTCTGTTATGACCACTGGTAGGAGTGAAAATAAACAGATATTTATTGAGAATCCTAATGTCTTAGTTCATTTGGGCTGCTATAACAAAATACCATGAAACAGCTAGCATATAAACATTAGGAATTTCTTTCTTTCTTACAATTCTAGAGGCTGAGAAGTGCAAAATCATGGCATCAACAGTTCTGGTGTCTTGTGAGGGTCTGCTTCCTGGTTCACAGATGGCAGCTTCTTGCTCTGTCCGCACATGGTGGAAGGGGTGAGGGAGCTCCCTTGAGCCTCTTTTATAAGGACACTAGTCACATTCCTGAGGCAGTGCCCTTAGGAAATTATGATCTACCAAAGATTCCACCACCACATACTATCATATTGAGGATTAGGTTTCAATATATGATTTTTTTTCTTTTTTGGGGGGGTGGGGTGGGGAACAGAAACATTCAGCCATAATACCTATGAAGATGCAGATGCCTATCCCATGTAATCCTCACATAAGACAACGGTAGCAGGGGAGACACAGTGAATTGCCCAAGGCCATAAAGCTAGCAAATAGTGGAGCAGGAAAAAAGCCTGGACTCTCCCTGATCTGATGCCTGGAGCTGGGAACCAGAAGCCATTGATAATGAGAGAGACTCTGGGCTAACACTGCTGCCAAAGGGAATGTTGTCTCATAAACTCTACGTTGACATGCATCTGGATCCAGGCTTCATTGCAAAAGCATGGGTTTTCTTGACACTTTCTTTTATCTCAGCACAGAAGCTGTATGGTATATTTGCTTGTATGTGGTCATAAACAGCAGTTCACCAGAGTCCCTTTCTTTGTTCTCCTATATTCACTGGTGATAGAAGCCAGCACACATGAAAAAATTTCTTTCTTATGGGCTTCTCTAGAAACCCTTTTACTTTTCATCTTTCTTTCACATTCCTAACAGCTTTTCTCTCTTTCTTATTCATCCTTTTTTTTTTTAAATCTATTACCCAACTTCCAGGCATTTAGCTTTCCTCTCACCTGATCTTAACCTATAGGAAGCGTAATAAAGTCTTTTCTTAAGGAAAAGATGGTAATGTGTTGAGTAGTTTATCATTAGAATCCAGGTTAGAAGTTGGAGTCTAATGACACTTTCTCAGTCTAGGTTGGCTGAATTGCTGTAGTTATTTCTCAAAGCCTTGACTAACTCAGTTTATAAGTCTTATTTGCAAATTATCCTGATCTCGTGTTTTTTTTTATTTTGACATTAGTGACTTGACTGTGGAGAAATAAAGAATAATTGTAAGCGAAAGTGAAGCCCAACCAAGAATTCTGTTGACTGTGTGACCTCATCAAGGAAGTGACCACAACTTTTTTATTTCTTGGCTATTTCTAATTTTCTTCTTTGTAACAGTGGACCTTGCCGAAGGAGACCCTAGAAATGTTCAGTTTGCATAAACTGAGCCCAGGACCAACAGATGATTAATGTAGGTAACAACCCTAGGCACCTGTACTTTCCAATCTGAGTTAATTCTGTGTTCTCAGAGGCAAGGCTAAGAGATAAAGACTTGAATAACAGTGGGATTAACCCTTTTCTCAAAGGCAGGATCCATTGTTTGATAATAGTGTAAGCTTCCAATGCTTTGTTCCGACACAAATCTTTGTTCTTGTCATTTCTTCCACTCTCCCCATCTCATTCTACTCCACCAGGCCAGACCATAATTTGAGTTACCAGTAAAGGCAAGCTAGCATTCCCAACATTCTGTGACAAATCCTAAATTAATGACATTCAGAAGAAGGCTTAACGTCTATAGCAGGCAAAAATATTCTTTCACACACACACACACACACACACACATACACACACACACACAGATTGACACAGATTGAGAGACAGAGAGAGAGTGTGTGTGTCTGTAATCATTGTTTTTAACACTAAAAACAATCTTTCTGCAATTCCTTAGTGGCACGGCCTGGTAAAGAAGACAGTGGCACCCAGTGGACAAATGTTTGATTGTTTGAGACTGGTGTTCCATTCTGAAATATTCTCAAGAACATTCTTAGGAAATATCAATTTCTCCCCTTTCCCTATCCTCTCTTCCATTTGTTTTTAATGTCAACTTAAATTTTAAAATAGGGGACAGAGGACTGTTCTTAAAGTTTTATCTTTTCAAGGAAAAGACCAGACTCAAACACTGGAAAAAGCAAAAATCTCAGGATTAAATTCTCTGACAGCAGTGTTGATTGACTCCTCTCAACAGTAACAGTGAAGACAGTCAAATCTCATCAAATGCTCAAGTTAATTAAAAATGCAATATTGAAAATGCCTGCAATGTGCTTTTACACATCATACTCTCCCTTTCCTCATACCATGGCCAACTTCCAATTCAACTTACTTGGTTATGCAAATTTGGCAGCTTCAAGAACTATACTTTAGTACAATTAATAAACACAGATCCTGCAACTTAATGCTATTGTGCAGTTTATCTTGAAGTCATATGAACACCTATTTTCATTCTCCATGTCTTCCAATTATTCTGTTGTCTGTGAGCTACTTGGGTAGAGAGGCTCTGGTTTATATGTCTTTCTCCCCAAAACACCTAACCAGTACCTTACAGTAAGTACAAAGAAGTTAAGTGAAATCCACTTTCTATTTTATATATTTAATCTGATAAATATTGAAAAAATAAATACATCTAATTGTTTGGTGTTATACAAAGAGATCATTAAACCAAGAATCTTAAATATTAGGGTCTATTTGTGAAACTGCCTTTGCAAAATTATGACAATGAAAGAAATAAGACCTAACTGACTCTATCTTGCTTCTAACCCTTAAGCTGTCCTTGTTGATTCTTGGGCATAGGCCAAACCAACTTTGGGAAAGAATTCGGTTTATGGTTCAACTCTGAAACAAATCGATAATAGCCCTTTCCCGAAAATACTCCCTTCTTGCCTGGGGTCCAGTCTGCCTTTGCAGGACTACCAAATTAGCTACAAGATTAGAAATTACAATTTAGGGGTCAGGTAGCCTCTGGCTCCCAGAGTCTGAACCTCCCCAAATTGTTCCTGTATTCACTATTGTAAAACCTAAGATCAACACTTGACATATTTTGCAGACCCTGCAATGGATGGATCAGCTGACACCACCCAGACCGTAATCTCGCCCAACCAGTTCTGTCATTGCAACCAGGCACAGAAAACATGAAGAAAACCTAACTTCGACACCCTATGATTCCATCTCCAACCTGACCAACCAGCACTCCCCACTTCCCAGGCCCCTCCCTGCAAAATTATCTTTAAAAACTCTGATCCCCGAATGCTCATGCTTGGGGAGACTGATTTGAGTAGTAATAAAACTCCTATGGTCTCTTCCTGCACAGCTGGCTCTGCTTGATTTACTCTTTCCCCGTTGCAATTCCCCTGTCTTGATAAATCAGTTCTGTCTAGGCAGCAGGCAAGGTGAACCCACTGGATGATTACATTTGCAATGGATAAATATATTTCCTAAAGAACAAAACGATTGGGTACTCTTATGAGTGAATTGAATCTTACTTATTCAAATGAGATATTATTAAAAGCCATTTGATTACCAAAAAAAACCCTATGTATCTTACTATAACCTAATTTCAGCAGGGGTGCCCTCCTCTAGTTATCCATTGAAAAGTCCTTCCTGATTTGGAGTCTGAAATTCTTAGTTTTTTTTCTTTGAAATATTATCTCATGTTTATCATTATGTTCTTGGTAATTCTTAATTTTGCCACAGTTCAAGGCTTGTTTTTGTTTGTTTTAGAAAAAAAAAGAAGCACTTGGCAGGCTAGAGCTATGGCTTAAGGCTGAGATGGAAACTTTTCCAGAAGGGCAACACATTTTTATTAACTGACACGAGTACCCTGTGACCCCTTGCATCAATCGCATTTAGTCAGTAAACAATAAGTAGATACCAAAGTAAGGAATGCATTCTTTCAGTAAGCTGAAAAAGAAATGAAGGGCATTTGTGTGTGTCACTACATTACACATTAATCATATTTCTTTTTCTCATAACACAAGCACCTTTCCTCTTAGTTTCTGCCAAAATTCTTATAAAATTCTGATGCAATTAGCTCTTACTGTACAAAGAGTCTACCTTTATTATTAAAAGTACCTTAAAATTCTTTTTTTCCAAAAGTATCTAAAATATATTTTTATCTAAATGTATCAATCCAGGAGAAATTTATAAACATTTCTAACATTGCAGGGCCTCCTCTATCCTTTTTCCTCCACTGACTGTTCACCAAGAGAGAGCGCTGGGGTACCCAGATTCCAAGCGGCTTTGCCCTCTGGGGCCAAGCCTCTCTGATTAGGGGAAAAGGCAACAGTAGTTGCACTATTTGCAAAGTATAATCTTATTGTGAAATGTTCCAGCCCTGGCCTGCGCTTTACTGATAACCCACAGCCACCGCCTCTGAAATCATGGACCTATTGTACATGCAAAGCACCTATATAAGGTGTCCAGGCCAGCTGGTATAGGCCAGGCTCCACTTATCGTCTGCTACTTTGCTTCTGTGAGTTTCAAAAACCAAAGAGGATGTCAATATTTGAAAAACCCTCTCCCAAGTAAAATTTCCTGAAATAAAAGAAAATTACATCTGCGTGACTCCTATAGGTTTTACCTTTGAGCTTACCTGCTGATAATGCAAATATCCTTTGTTTATTCTGGGAAACCACTTAGTTAAAGAGGGTTTGCCTAACTCATGGCCTATGGTGAATGAAAGTCAAATAAAATATAAAGATGAAAAAAGTTTAAAGGTTTGCCATACAGACTAAAGTAAACACAGTTATGTCTAAAATGAATGGAATGCTGTGTGTGAATGTGTGTGTTGGCATGTGTGTATGTGCATAACAGCAATGTGTATACATATGTGCGTGTGTGTGTGTATTAGTAGAGGCAGAGGTTAAAACATGTGTTTATATTTAGTCTTGCCATTCTGCGCACTGAGGAACGTTTGTTTCCAGTTCCCATGACAGATATTACCTGTTTAGATAAAGCTTTAGCCTTTTCTTCTGCTGCTTTCAGGCAAATCTCCAAGGACTCTAGTAGGGCCAAGGTAAATGCCATCTGTCCAGTGTCCAGCGACACTTTCTTTAAATCAAGTATTACTTTTTGACATGGATAGTTTAAGCGCATCTCAAACAATCTTATAACTAATGATGGGATTGACAAACTCACAGAAATCCTCCCCTTTTCTTAACACAAAAATAAACAGCAAAATGTTTTAACAATCATTTTATTTAACATACAGAGTGTAAAATGAGTAAAAAACAAATGATGACAACGAACAGTTTTAGAAAGTTAGATTAAATAACTGTTGTTGGAATTGGATTACTTTAAAACTTTTATTCTTACTTCAAAGGGTTAGGATGAAAATATCACATTCCTAATGGAAGACATCACCTAGAATGTCTACGTTTTTAACAGTCACCTAACAGTGGGAACAGAGTCAACCGAATTCAGAGAAATTTTGTTTCCTCTGATCTTCACCTGCTTAGCACATGCCATTAAAACAAAGATACCACATGTTTTAGAATCAAATCATTCTTCCTCAGAGCCTGGCTATATCACTCAAATCAGCAGATGTGTAGACTCTGAGTCTCAAAATTTTTCCTTTTCTTTTTTTTTCCAAGTGGAGTTTCACTCTTGTCTACCAGGCCGGAGTGCAAGGGTGTGATCTTAGCTCACTGCAACCTTCACCTCCTGGGTTCAAGCGATTCTCCTGTCTCAGCCTCTGGAGAATACAGGCGTTTGCCACCACACCTGGCTAATTGTTGTATTTTTAGGAGAGATGCGGTTTCACCATCTTGGCCAGGCTGATTTTGAACTCCTGACCTCATGATCTGTCCACCTCAGCGTCCCAAAAGGGCTGGGATTACAGGCATGAGCTACTGTACCTGGCTTCAAGATGTTTCTAAAGTAACTTTTTCTCAGATACAAGCTGAAGAGTATGCAAAATTGCTATGAAAATATCAGGTACAAGGAATGAGCAAAGTCTCCAAGAAATATGGGACTACGTGAAAAGACCTAATTTATGTTTGATAGGTGTACCTGAATGTCATGAAGAGAATGAATTCAATCTGAAAAATATTCTTCAGGATATTATTCAGGAAAACTTTCCTAACCTAGTAAGACAGGACAATACTCAACTCCAGGTAATACAGAGAACACCACAAAGATATTCCTCAAGTAGAGCAACCCCAAGACACATAATCATTAGATTCACCAGGGTTGAAACAAAGGAGAAAATTCTAAGGGCAGCTAGAAAGAAGGGAAGCCTATCAGACTCACAGCAGATCTCTCAGCTGAAACCCTACACGCCAGAAGAGAGTGGGGGTCAATATTAAATATCCTCAAAGAAAAGAATTTTCAACCCAGAATCTCATATTCGGCCAAATTAAGCTTCATAAATGAAGGAAACATAAAATTTTTCACTAACAAGCAAGCACTCAGAGATTTCATCACCACCAGGCCTGCTTTACAAGAGGTTCTGAAAGAAGCACTGTATACAGAAAGGAACAACCAGTATCAGTCATCCCAAAAACTTACCAAAAGTTAAAGAGTATCTCCATAATGAAGAATCTATATCAATTAATGGGCAAAATAGCCAGCTAGCATTAAACGACAATATCAAACTCACAAATATCAATATCAATCCTAAATTTAAATGGATCAAATGCCCCAGTCAAAGACAGACAGGCAAATTGAATAAAAAGTCAAAACCCATCGGTACGTTGAATCCAGATCCATCTCATAAGCAAGGACACACAAAGACTCAAAACAAAGGGTTGGAGGAAACTCACCAATCAAATGGAGAGCAAAAACAAAACAAAACAAAACAGAAGTTGTAACTTTCATCCCTGACAAAATAGACTTTAATAGTAACAAAGACTAAAGAAACAAAGAAGGACATTACATAATGGTAGAAGGATCAATGCAACAACAGGGTCAATGATCATAAATATATATGTACCCAATATAGGAACACCCAGATACATAAGACAAGCTCTTAATGACTTATAGAGAGACTTGCAATAATAGCGGGAGACTTTGATGCCACATTGTTAGTATTCGACGGATCAATGAGATAGAAAATTAACAGGGACATCTATGATTAGAACTCAGACCTGGAACAAGTAAACTCAGTGAATATTTATAAAATTCTTCACCCCGGGTCCACAGAACATACATTTTTCTCAGTATCACATTACACCTATTTGGAAACTGACCACATAATTGGAAGTAAATCACTCTTCAGCATTGCACATTTCACAGACTTAAATGAAATACTTGTTGGCTGTTCGTTATTTTCTTCCCTTATTCCTTCCTGTCTCTGCTGTTAAGCACAATTATCGGCATAAAAGAGGTTTTTAATACCTATTTTTAGATTGCATTCCAGCCTGGGCAATAGAGCAAGACTCCTGTTCTCTCTCCCCCTTTCTCTTTCTCTTTCTTTCTTTCAAAAAAAAAAAAAAGATGCATGAAGTTCTCAGATTCATCCTTCTATATTCCTTTATATACTATTCATTGCTTGACATCTCAAAGATATCTTCTACCCCTTCTGTCATCTTTTTTCTAGGACTCTCCATTCTCTTACTCTGGTCTTTGGGTCCACAGAGCTATGGGCTCTGAGTTTAAAAAAAAAAAAAAAGAAGAAAATATCAGGTACAGGCCCTAGTGAGACTAGACACTTCCTAGCTACTCTTTTGCTATTGTTTATTGTGATAATTAATAATTACAAAGCAATATGAAAAGTTGAAAAACCTCGTATATGCTAGGATGATGACCTTCCTATAGCCTCTCTGGATGTGTCCTGTTTCCTTATGAACACTCCTGCTCTTACTGCTGCTTCCAATTAGCACCATAAAGAACAAACTTCATTCCTACATACCTTAAAGGTCTAACTTCTGCTTCATTTTTTCCCTCTGGTTTATGAGACCACTGATTTTACATGTGTGCATTTCCTGACGATACAATAGAGCCATCTGGTGGCAAATGGAACCAGATGTAAAAATACAGCATTCATTCAGCTTCTATAATTGTTTGTACTATATGCTGAACCTCCAGGCTTTGCCACTGGCCTCTGATATAAACAAAATTCTATGGGATGAAGGGTGAAAACATATTGCTGTGTCACAAACAACCTGGCTCCACAGTCAAATTCTGCCACTACGGGTGCATACTTACCCTCAGAAGTTTGCCTTTAGGGAAGGAACATCTCAGGCTTGAATGGTGTTACCAGGAAGTGAACCAATTGTCCTCAGATTCCTGATGGTTCCAGTAATTTAAAAAGTGGGTTCAAAAATTCTCCAAAAAAAAAAAAAGCCTCTAAACAAAATTCTTGTATATTTACACTTAGAGATGAATACATGCTGTAAGACATTAATTATATGCAGAAATGGGGAACTGTCACAGGCCAAACTGTTTTTAAAAGTTGGGGAATCCCTGATCGGCTATTTCCAGGGAAAATTTTCTTGTTGAATGTTTGATCCCAAGAGGAAGTTTTCAAAATCTGTGTGAGTAGACTCAGCAAGATCACCTAATCCATTTCTCCAGGACTTCCTTTCCAAACACCCAACATTTCCCCAGCCAAGAGGACAAACATTTCCATAGAGAAAGCAGTATAAGTCAAAGCCAAATGAAGCAGGCCTAACCGAGGACTGTTATGAAATAACACAGGACTTTCTGTACAAATTTAGGAAATCGTCAGATGTTTCAGGACAGGGAAAGACCTGAGCAAACCGTGGAGATGCAAAGTCGGTCTTCTGCACCCTCACTCCTGCTGCAGTGAGTACTGGCCGCTCTCCAACCAGCCTTTCAACCTTCCCCCACTCCCTTAAGTGAAAGAGTCTATACAAAAGCAAGCACTTTTTAAATAGGAGGTAACCCCATTAACAGAATAAAGGCAAAGGAAGACCGAGTCAAAAACAATTTCGGAAATAAGTAAATACATAAAGATAGAGGTTTTGGAAGTGGGTATGTGGTTTCAAAGACTAAAAAATTTAGATGTACTCAGTCGTTGTCCGTGCAATGGCAGAAGGGCAGAAGGACAGGACTTCCACTATTAATTTTATTTTACTTCCAGGTATGTTCGGACACATACAATTTGTGATAATAATGAAAATGAATATTCTAAGTGGTTAAAGTAGTTGCAAGTGAATTACATTAATCAGCAATCTGTTACATGATATCAAAATGATGAAAATACAGGCAATATATAGGTGTTTGGGAATTGAACCTGTGTATGGATTTCCACATGGTAAATTCCAACCATTTAATAATAATTCCCACTGTTAATTTCTACCTTTTGTCTTAAAATTGTCTACCTAAATATACGGTTATTATTTAAATACATGTACCTAATGTAGCCAAGATGAGCAATCTAAAATGACACCAATGAACACTAAAAATTCAATAAACTCTTTGTTTACAGTAAAAATACCTGACTATTATTATGCATGGATGTTGAGGTTGATAGTCTACTAATTGAACAAATCTATTTTTTTTTTTTAGGAAGGGAGGGATGAAGGAAGGGAGGAAGGGGGGAGGGAGGTAGGGAGGGAAGGGAAGGAAGGAATTCAAGCAATGAGAGAGACATTGCCGACCTGGATCTAGAGGTTTACAAGTTGATTTCTTTTTTTTTTTTTTGAGTGAAGGAAGGAAGAAAAAAATGAGTAAAGGAGAGGAAGAAAGAGGAAGAGAAAGAGGGAGAGTGAGTGGAAATATTGCTTTATTCTTAAAAAAAAATGGGTATTAATAATGGCCAATCAATGTTTCATTTAAACCTATGAGTACGTGTGATGTGGTATTGACTAGAATGTTTATTTTGTGTATTTGAAGTGGAGAGCTCTATAAATATTTATTAAGTTTACTTGTTCCGGATCTGAGTTTTAGTCCTTGATATCCTTATTAATTTTCTGTCTCATTGTGTCTAAGTCTCTATGTATCTGGGTGTTAGGATCGTTAGCTCTTGTTGTTGCATTGATCCTTTTACCACTATATCTTTGTTGCTTTAAAATCTATTTTATCCGCTACGAGAATTGCAACTCCTGCTATTTATTTATTTATTTATTTTTGCTCTTTATTTGGTT